AGTTCCCGTTCCTTGTCCCACCACAGCCTCCTCCCACGTCCTGTCCCACGTCCGCGTCCCCTCCCCCTTGTATTCCCGTGTCCCTGCCAGTGCTGCTTCCCCAAAAGAACCGCAATGCGGCTGCCAACATACTTACTTCCTCCTTCTTTTGCTTACGTTTTTCCTTAGCTTTCTCCTTGTCCCTACCATTAAACACAAAAGTGACCAGGCGAACTACTTCGCTTAGGGCTTTCCCTGGCCAATCGGGAACATGTTTAGTTAAATACTTCTTTATGTCCGGTGCCGCTTGATCGACAAAGTAAGAGACCATCATCATGCGGCTAACCTCGGCTTCTGGCTCCACCCCTCCCCCAAACATTCTAACCTGCTTAAACAAGCTGGCCAAACATGCAGACGGATGCTCGTTTAGGTCTTGCTGGCACTCTCTAATTTTTGACCAATTTGCCGTCTTACTACCCACCCTACGGATGCTCTCCAGGAGCCCTTCCCGGGCAGCTGAGAGGCTGGCCCGGCCATTGAGGTCGTTAGGATCCCAACCTGGATCGGCTTCGGGCCAAGGGGTGCGATTCTCAGCGTCCCCCGCCCAACGCCGATTGGCGTCTAGAATAGAATACTTCTCGTCAGGGGTAAATAGGGTTTGCAAAATAGCCTGGACGTCTGCCCAGTTAGGGTTAAATGCCGTAAGGACTGAACGGATAGTCTGTAGGACTCTTTCCGGATCGTCGCGAACCTCGGCATCTGTGACTGCCAGGTGACCAGGTCCCCAGGCCCAAAAGGGCGGGGGACCGTGACCATAGTGACACGGTCATTGCTCGTCGCAACGGGTTGTTGTATCGGGCACTTGAAGCGCAACTGGGGGTAGGGTTACAGGCGGCTATAGAGGGGCAACAGGAGGAGGAGTAGCGGGAAGAGACAGAGGAGGGAAAGCAGCATAGGGCGGAGCGGAACCTGCAAGCGGCATGCAAACTTTAGATCTGGTACCAGAGCTCAAAGTCGAGGGGCGCCTCTTATCTCGGGCGTATGCCCAATTATCCCATACATACCAATAATCCATTTCAGCTGGATGCTTGTCCTCCAGCTGTTGTCTAAGGCAGGTTAATTCATCCTGTGCAAAAGTTCCGTCGGGTGGCCATCCAAAGGGCGTCTGAATAGTCAGCGCTGGCCACTCGACTTTATACAAAATTACAGTTCTCCTTTCACCTAACCCAGGGGTGCCAGAAATATTTTTCCAATTCCTGAAAATCTCAGCCAAAGGGGTTCCCCTGCTCACACTCTGCCCAGAGCCCATTCTAGGGCTACCAAAAAACGCCTAAGGTGCCACCCTATCGCCTAAGCGACGGCCCACACACCCGTTCCTCCAAGTTCTTGAAGGTGAACTCACCTGGTGCCGGCTGGAGTTGTCTGAGGGAAGGAGTGCGGCTTCGCTTATGAGGGCAAGCCTAGAGTCCCAAACTGTTACGAATTATTCCAGTTAGGACATGTACAGTTTGTTTCTAGGCTGAGGCAACCAAATAAAGACAGACTGCAGAGTGTCTTAGAGTTTGTAGGTTTCTTACGCTCGAGCGTGGTACCATTCCCTTAAGCTGAACGGGACCCCAATTACAGGTTACACAAAGATTCTATACTGTTGGCAAAACATCCTGCCTGTGTGCCTCGGGGGGCCTAACCCAACAAACAGGCCTTCTCCTTATCTATCACCAATGCCCTGCAGCCACCTTCCCCCTGCAAAAACGCTGAATTAGCAGCTATTTCAGGCATGTCGGCTGGTTCCTGTCTCCTTTGTTTCCCTTCTCTTGAAACTGTCCAGCTGTCCACCCTGAAGGATCCTTCCTTCCTTCCTTGGTACGTGGTGTGCTTGCTTCTAGTTAATGGCCGAGAGGAAACCCAAAATGGAGTCACATATGCTAACTAGGTTAATTTCCCCTAACAATTATGAACAGGAGGTTGCCAGGCACCTTTCCTACAACTTTCCTGTGACGAGATAACTGATTCTGTGGATGAAGGGAAAGCAGTGGACGTGGTGTTCCTTGGCTTTATTAAAGCTTTTGACATGGTCTCCCACAGTATTCTTGTCTGCAAGTTAAAGAAGTATGGGCTGGACGAATGCACTATAAGGTGGGTAGAAAATTGGCTAGATTGTCAGGCTCAACGGGTAGTGATCAATGGCTCCATGTCTAGTTGGCAGACGGTATCAAGCATAGTGCCCCAAGGGTCGGTCCTCGGGCGGTTTTCTTCAATATCTTCATTAATGATCTGGAGGATGGGTGGATTGCACCCTCAGCAAGTTTGCGGATGATACTAAACTAGGAGGAGAGGTAAATACGGTGGAAGGAAGGGATAGGATACAGAGGGACCTAGACAAATTAGAGGATTGGGCCAAAAGAAATCTGATGAGGTTCAACAAGGATAAGTGAGAGTCCTGCACTTAGGATGGAAGAATCCAATGCACTGCTACAGAGTAGGGACCGAATGACTAGGCAGAGTTCTGAGAAAAGGATCTGGGGGTGACAGTGGATGAGAAGCTGGATATGAGTCAGCAGTGTGCCCTTGTTGCAAGAAGGCCAATGCCATTTTGGGATGAATAAGTAGGGGCACTGCCAGCAGATCGAGGGACGTGATCGTTCCCCTCTATTCGACGTTGGTGAGGCCTCATCTGGAGTACTGTGTCCAGTTTTGGGCCCCACACTACAAGAAGGATGTGGAAATATTGGAGAGTGTCCAGCGGAGGGCAAGAGAAATGATTAGGGGACTGGAACACATGACTTACGAGGAGAGGCTGAGGGAACTGGGATTATTTAGTCTACAGAAGAGAAGAATGAGGGGAGATTTGATAGCTGTTTTCAACTCCCTGAAAGGTGGTTCCAAAGAGGATGGATCTAGACTATTCTCAGTGGTAGTGGATGACAGGACAAGGAGTAATGGTCTCAAGTTGCAGTGGGGGAGGTTTAGGTTGGATATTAGGAAAAACTTTTTTCACTAGAAGGGTGGTGAAACACTGGAATGCGTTACCTAGGGAGGTGGTGGAATCTCCTTCCTAAGGAGTTTTTAATGTCAGGCTTGAGAAAGCCCTGGATGGGACGATTTAATTGGGGATCGGTCCTGCTTTGAGCAGGGGGTTGGACTAGATGACTTCCTGAGGTCCCTTCCAACCCTCATATTCTAGAATTCTACCACATTCTAACGGCCACTGTCCTCCGATCCCACTGAGGAGTACCAAAAGAAACTACACCAACTGCTCAAGAAACTCCCTGCTACAGTACTGGAACAAATCTACACAGACCCTCCCCTAGAGCCCCGACCAGGGGTATTCTATCTGCTACCCAAGATCCATAAACCTGGAAATCCTGGACACCCCATCATCTCAGGTATTGGCACTCTTACAGCAGGATTATCTGGCGATGTGGACTCTCTCCTCACACCCTATGCTACCAGCACTCCCAGCTATCTTCGAGACACCACCAACTTCCTGAGGAAACTACAACGTATTGGTGATCTTCCTGAAAACACCATCCTGGCCACCACGGATGTAGAAGCTCTTTACACCAATATTCCACATGAGGATGGGCTACAAGTTGTCAGGAACATTATCCCTGATGAGGCCACGGCACACCTGGTGGCTGAGCTTTCTGACTTTGTCCTCACCCACAACCATTTCAGACCTGGGGACAATTTATACTTTGAAGTCAGCGGGACTGCTAGGGGTACCCGCATGGCCCCACAGCATGCCAACATCTTTATGGCTGACTTAGAACAACGCTTCCCTCAAATCTCTCGTCCCCTAGCGCCCCCTCCTCTATTTGCGCTACATTGATGACATCTTCATCCTATGGACCCATGGGAAGGAGGCCCTTGAAGAATTCCACCTGGATTTCAACAATTTCCACCCCAGCATCGACCTCAGCCTGGACCAGTCCACACAAGAGATCCTGGACACTACAGTGCAAATAAGTGATGGTCACATAAATACCACCCTATACTGGAAACCTAGTGACCTCTATGCTTACCTACATGCCTCCAGCTCCTGAGGAAACAGACTGACAAAGCAAGATAGATACCCAGAAGTCACCTTCTACAGGACAGGCCCAACACGGGAAATAACAGAACACCACTGGCCATCATGTACAGCCCCCAGCTAAAACCTCTCCAGCACATCATCAACGATCTACAACCTATCCTGGAAAAGGATTTCTCATTCTCACAGACCATGGGAGGCAGGCCAGTCCTCCCTTACAGACAGCTCCCAATCTGAAGCAAATACTCACCAGCACCACACCATAGAAACACTAACCCAGGAACCAATCCCTGCAATAAATCCCATTGCCAAATCTGTCCCCATATCTACTCTAGCGACACCATCATAGGACCTAACCATATCAGCCATGTCATCAGGGGCACATTCACGTGCACATCTACCAATGTGATGTATGCCATCATGGGCCAGCAATGCCCCTCTGCCACGTACATTGGCCAAACCGGACAGTCTCTATGTAAAAGAATAAATGGACACCAATACGACATCAGGAACGGTAACACACAAAAGCCAGTAGCAGAACATTTCACTCTCCCTGGACATTCAATAACAGATTTAAAAGTAGCCTTCAACCAAAAAACTTCAAACACAGACTTCAGAAAGAAACTCCAGAGCTACAATTCATTTGCAAACTTAAAACCAACAATTTGGGCCTGAAGAGGGACTGGGAGTGGCTGGCTCACTACAAAAGCAATTTTCCCTCTCTTGGTATTGACCCCTCCTCATCAGTCACTGGAAGTGGACCACGTTCATCCTGTGTGGATTCTCCCATTTTTAATGGGGTATGATCTCTGTCTGAAACTTTTCCCACAGTCCAAGCACTTGTAGAGTCACTCTCCTGTGTGGATTCTCTGATGTTTAACCAGTGCCGGTCTCCATGTGAAACTTTTCCCACAGTCCAAGCACTTATAGGGTCTCACTCCTGTGTGGATTCTCTGATGTTTAACCAGCGCTGATCTCTGTATGAAACTTTTTCCACAGTCCAAGCACTTGTGGGGTCTCTCTCCTGTGTGGACTGCCTGATGATAAACAAGCTCTGACCTTCGTATGAAACTTTTCCCACAGTCCAAGCACTTGTGGGTCTCTCTCCTGTGTGGATTACCTGATGTTGAACAAGGTGTGACTTTCTTATGAAACTTTTCCCACAATCCAAGCATTTGTGGGGTCTCTCTCCTGTGTGGAATTCCTGATGTTGAACAAGGTGTGACCTCTGCATGAAACTTTTCCCACAGTCAAAGCACTTGTGGGGTCTCTCTCCTTTGTGGATTGCCTGATGTTTAACAAGGTGTGACCTCTGCTTGAAACTTTTCCCACAGTCAAAGCACTTGTGGGGTCTCTCTTCTGTGTGGACTGCCCGATGTTTTACAAGGTATGACCTCTGCTTGAAACTTTTCCCACAGTCCAAGCACTTGTAGGGTCTCTCTTCTGTGTGGACTGCCTGATGTTGAACAAGGTGTGACTTTCTTATGAAACTTTTCCCACAATCCAAGCACTTGTGGGGTCTCTCTCCTGTGTGGACTGCCCAATGTTTTACAAGGTCTGACCTCTCCTTGAAACTTTTCCCACAGTCAAAGCACTTGTGGGGTCTCTCTCCTGTGTGCATTGCCTGATGACGAATAAGGACTGATTTCCACTTGAAACTTTTCCCACAGTCAAAGCACTTGAGGGGTCTCTCTCCTGTGTGGACTGCCTGATGCTGAACAATGCGTGATCTTCGTATGAAACTTTTCCCACAATCCAAGCACTTGTGGGGTCTCTCTCCTGTGTGGATTGCCTGATGTTGAATAAGGCGTGACCTTCGTATGAAACTTTTCCCACAGTCCAAGCACTTGTGGGGTCTCTCTCCTGTGTGGATTGCCTGATGATCAGCAAGATCTGACTTGCATATGAAACTTTCCCACAGTCCAAGCACTTGTGGGGTTCTCTCTCCTGTATGGATTTTCAGATGATAACCAAGGGCTGATCTCCAAGTGAAACTTTTCCCACACTCCAAGCACTTATGGGTTCTCTCTCCTGTGTGGATTGCCTGATGATTAACAAGTGCCGACCTCCATGTGAAACTTTTCCCACAGTCCAAACATTTATGGGGTCTCTCTCCTGTGTGGCTTTTCTCATGTGAATTTAGTGCTGACTTTGAACTGAAACATTTCCCGCATTCAACGCATTGAATGGGCTTGTCTACAGTGTGGCTTCTCCCATGGTTATTAAGATCTCTGCGCTTATTGAAGCTTTCCCCACTGTCCAAGCATTGAAATGGTTTCTCTCCCGTATGGACTGTCTGATGTGTAACAAGTTGTGATCTCACAATGAATCCTTTCCCACACTCAAGGCAGTGCCAGGGTGTCTCTTCCTTGGGATTTGTCTGCTGCTCTCTGGGATTCTCGTCTCCTCTCCCACCATTCACAGATTCATCCACTTTCTTCCTGGGTTGCTTTATCAGAAGCCTCTCTGTCCTGTGCCAATTTCCCCCAGGCTTCTCCCTGATTCCAGCAAGGGGAAAAAATTCCCTTCAGCTCTTCCCAAAAGGTCCCCTGTGGTTCCACTTCCCCAGGAGCTGCCTCATGATGATTCCCCTCCTTCTTCTCACTCCCTCGCTCAGCACCTGCTGGGAAGGACACAATCCAGAAGGAGTCATTGTGCTGGGGAGAAAGAGGAATAGCACTGAGGGAAAAGCCAACACAAAGACTGAGCAATTGGATTCTGCCTCCACATCCCACCTAACATTTACAAGGAAGGAGAGACGGGAAGGGTGGAATGGCGTGAGCAATATCTGCTGACCATAGCCCTGCTCTCGGTGAGATGAAGAAGAACTGAGGGCTTTACTCACATCATATTTTGGGATTCTCAACCTTTTCCTTCATTCCCTAGATGGAATTTCTCTGTCAGGCCTCACCTGTGCTGGTGCATCTCCGAAGCCTTCTGTCCTTGAAATCCTGGAGATCGGACACCCACAGCTCTTCCCCTCGTTCCAGCCGGGCGATAAGCTCAGGTTTGGGAATGGGAAATCCTGTGCAGAAGGTGAAATGAGTCCAGATCAGGGTGCATGGACCATTGGTGGAGGATCTCTCACAAAGGACATTCCGTGAGTGGAACCTGTCCCTGTGCTCTGCTGGAGGAAGGTGGAATCCAAGAGGATGGGAACAGGGTCACTGAGCCCCCTTGCGCAGAGGACGTTGTCTGGGGAGGTGAGTTGAATTATTACTACACCCTCACTAGGCGTTCCCAGGATCTGTGCGCTCTGGGGGCCTTGCTGACTCCACACAGGTCTGCAC